CAGGCTACCCTCTGGGTTTTCCAGGCCCTGCAAACTGCTATTGTCAGTCTTTGTAACTGGCCTTAAGATGACCACTGGCCTGAACGTCTCTGGGACCAGACCCTGGGTCCCCAAGGCCCAGTACCAGGCATATGCCAGGAGTGTAGCACACACTCACAAGACACTGAATGACAAGACTGGGGCCAAGGTCTCCCAGAAAGGAAACAGCAGATGACACCCGCTCAGGCTCTGGGAGGAAGAACCAGGCACAGGCAGCAGGGGGTGGGTCCAGTCTCTCCTGCCGGGTGGCCTGAGACTGTCCCCCAGGGTTTGTGAACCTGGAGGGTGCTAGGAGCCTGCAGGGGGGCAGAGGACTCTGGGTATTGCCCTGGGCTGCCTGGGCACAGCTGCAGAGAGGAGGTTTGCGTGATTGGGGCCATGGACCTGACTTCTGACCCTTGACCTCACTCCCCACAACGGCTCCTACAGCCTTGCCCTCTGGTCCTCCCGAGTCCGCTCTGCTCACCTTCCTCCCACACCTTATGTCTTTCATGGCTGGGTTGCTTGATTTCCACTTTACCTAAAGTCTTTGTAGAGTGAACACGCAGACACTCGCTTTTCTCCCTGGAGGGACTGCTCCTGTCGCCTGGCCCTGCTATAACAGAAAATCACCTTCTGGGAGGCTTCACAACAGAAATGCAGCTTCTGAGTCTGGAGGCCAGGAGTGTGGGATCCAGGTGTGGCCCTGGCCGCGCTCCCGCCAGGGCTCCAGGGGAGGGTCCCTCCTTGCCTCTCCCAGCTTCTGCCACCCCCACGTCCCTCAGCCCGGGGCTGCATGGCTGTCACCTCTGCCTCCCTCTCACATGGCCTTGTTCCCTGAGTGTCCCCTCTCCTTACAAGGACACAGCCAGTGCACCGCAGTCCCCCAGGACCTCATCTCGGCCTGACGACACCAGCAAAGGCTATTTCCAAGCACGATCACGTCCCCAGGTACTGGGCGGGCAGGACTCTCTTCAGGGACACAGTTCAGCCTCTAACAGTGAACTTTCTCTGTAGAAACTCAAGTTTTTCCACCTTTGAGGACAAACTCCAGAGAAAGTAAGCCTGGTGAGGGAAGAACGAGGCATTATGGACAAGGTGGAGGCAGCTCTGGGTCAGAGGCAGGAGGCCAAGGTAGAAATGCAGGCCCTTGAAGCCAGCCCAGGCGCCTGGTTCCCACTCACCCGCCTCTGAGGCCCTCCAGGGCCATCTCCCTTCCCCAGAGCTGGCTTCTGACCCTGCCCCTGCAACAGGGCTGCTCCGCCCTCAGAGCCTTTCCTGGCTCCCTCTGAGGTCTCCCGTGGCTCCCATGCACATTCACACTGGGCATGCTCTGGACTCCCCACCAACCTTCCCTTCCTCTCAGGCTGCTTCCTGGGGCTGGTTGTTAAGAGGTCACATTTAATCACCTTGTTGCAGGAATGTCAAATGTGTCACACAGTCCAGCACACACACAACCACACCCACCCCACAGACCTGCTAAGGCTCTCCTATCCCTCCCTCTGTTACTGCCTAGTCCAGCTCCTTCCCAGCTCCTGGGAGGCTGGCACCTGTTCCACCATCCCCACAGGGAACTCTGTTGACTGGACTGGAAGCTGAGTATTTATTCCCTTTTTTTCCTACGTATTCCTCTACTAGGACTGCATGTCTGTCCCCCCAAAATTTATGTTAAAGCCCCAACCCCCATGGAGTGGTATTTGGAATGGGGTCTTTGGAAGGTAGTTCAGCTTGGATTGAAGCCGAGAGGGTGGCCTCATAATGGGATTAGTGTCTTTTTAAGGAAAAGAGGCCAGAGCCCAGACTCCTCCTCTTCCTCTTTTTCTCCCTCCACCAGCGACACACAGAGAGAAGGTGCCCTTTATGAGCCAAGAAGCAAGCCCTCACCCAACGCCAAGCCTGCCAGCACCTTTGTCTTAGACTTCCAGACTCCAGAGCTGGAATAACATCTGCCGTTTAAGCCACCCAGTCTGTGGTATTTTGTTATGCAGCTCAGCTGACGAATACACCCTCCAGTGGGAATGAAGCCCCACTGGCTAGGTCATGTATTTCCGCAACGGCGGGAATATGTGGAATGTCTGAACAACCAGGCTGGAACTCCTCTGAAATACAGCTTGTCTGGAAACAGATTTGATCAATCTCTGGGTGAATAAGGGAGACCTCGGCACCTGGGTATCCACCGATCCTGGGCTGCAGGAAGAGAGCGTTCAGCCCTGATGTAAGGATGACTATTACCTCCCCACTACAGATGAAGCAACTGAGGCTCAGAGAGGTTTAGACCAGGTCTGAAAATAACGTTCAGTCCTGGTGGGGCGTGATGGCTCATACCTGTAATCCCAGCATTTTGGGAGGCCGGGGCCAGCGGATCACCTGAGGTCAGGAATTCGAGAATAGCCTGGTCAACATGGCGAAACCCCATCCGTATTAAAAATACAAAAGTTAGTCGGGCATAGTGGTGGGTGCCTGTAATCCCTGCTACTCAGGAGGCTGAGGCAGGAGAATTGCTTGAACCCAGAAGGTGGAGGTTGCAGTGAGCTGAGATTGCCATTGCACTCCAGCCTGGGCAACAGAATGAGACATTGTGTCAAAAAAAAAAAAAAAAAGTTCACTTCTTTCCTAAGGAAAATGTCGTAACAAAGACAAATCTGTTGATGAGGAAACTACAGAAAAGGCAAAGTTCCTACAGTCTGACGTCTTTGGAAACTACTTTGATTCATTTACTTCCTGTAGCTTGGGTAATTTGGAGTTTAACTCAACATTTATTGAGTGTATTTCATGCACAAAACATTTTGCTATTTGCTGCCGTATGAGATGCTGGATAGGTCAAACTTTCTTCTCTCTGGTACCTTGTGAAAGATGGGGCATAACTGCAATGCGATTTTCTTAGAAACGTCAAAGACACAAGGAGGCTTTGATGGATCACTTGTCAAAAGTGATGGATAAAAGATGCCTTCCCATTTTATCCAGCACAATGAATCTCTACTTTGCTGAGGGATGCACCGACATCTTCATGTGAAAGTGTGTCTCTCCATGGTGAAATGCCAACGTCTTTTTCTTCCATCCACTGTCTTCCACTTGGGGTCCTTTTGCTAACCAGGAGGGCAGGAAAGCCCCAAGACAGGACCTATTGATCCAAACGTGGATCCATTGTTTCATTAAATGCTATTATCCATGTATATTTTCTTTGAAGACTCCATGAATTTTTAAAACTGCCGGGCTGCCCATCTGCGTGGACACTCTATCCCAACAAAATATGCACGGTGCAATTTTATAACTACTTTAAAAAAAGACTTTTAACTGGAACGTGTGGAGCCTGCCGTTTGCAGAGCTGACTGTTGGCGTATGTAATGTTTCAGGAAACCACTGAAACCCCAGCAGAAAGAGCACAGAACAGAAGGCCGCCTGCTGCTGCTGTCACTGTGGTCTGAGGGACGCTCCAGTGCCCAGAGCCCAGCTGCAGGGACATCAGCAGGCAGGAAGGTGGCTCCGCCTGTGGAGTCACGGAGATAAAGCCAAGAGATATTTTGGAGAAGAAAAGCTGTTTCTGATGTTAAAGCAGGTATCCAAAATAGGACCCAGTGTTCCAGCTTCCCGGCCTGGGCTTTAGTGACTTGAGCTGGGACCCGGGTGCACCTGCATTCACTGTCACCACCCGTGCTCCTAGGGCAGCTGTCCAGCCTCCCACACCCACTCGCTCATCCTTGACTTAAAGTGAGGTTGTGGGGACGGAAAAATCCGAGAAGCACACTTTACCTCTGACACCCTTTTCCCTGCCCCTTCTCACCTTCAGCCTCAAATTCCTAGAACCCTCCTGCCCTCTCCACTTGAAAATCTCTCCTGAGGAAAGGCCCAGACTAAATGCTTTGTACCATCGTCTAAATATTTCTCTTCAGTTAACCAGCATTTGAACACAGTTGCTAAATCTTCCGGGTCTTCCGGGGAGGCTGGTTTTAGGCCGCAACCCCGACCCCCGCTGGAGCCGCCTCGCAGCGCGGCCCGGACAGCGCTCAGTCCTCTCCCTCACCTCCTGACGAACTGTGGGTCCCAGGCTGCCTCCGGAAGCCCCGGGTCCAGATCCCTGAGTGGGGGTGCAGGTCAGGAGGAATGCGGGGGCTCATTCGGGGACTCCCCACCTCCTCCTCCTCCTCCATCAGGTGACCGAGAATCCAGGGAAAGATCTCCCTGACCACCAACTGTGTGTGCAGGTGAGTTTTTCTGTTTAACAGTAGAGTGACGAAGACCACGACGCCTCCGTGCCGCGGGACCAGGCGGCTTCCCCGCACCTGGCGCGTTTGGCTGTCTTGTCCGCGCGGACTTCCTGCGCCCCTCCTGCAGGCGAAGGTGCGCTCCCGGCGCCCAGCGGAGCACCTGCCGGCCGCAGGTGGGCCTGGGCGGGGCTGCAGGGGAGGGAGGGCGCGCCTGGGAGGACCTGCCCGCTCCTCCCGCCTCCAGGGCGGGCTGACCCTCCTCCTGCAGGGTCGGGGCCGCGCCAAGTCCTTCAGCAGTTTCTGGGGTTTCCAGCCCCTGAGGACAAGGGGAGATGCGGCCTCGCTCCCCTCCGGCAAGGTCGGGGTCCGGGTGAGTTCGGAGGCCGAGCCACGGGGGAAGGGTCTCGGGCGAGGCTCCAGGCCGCCCCTTCTCCGAGGCCCGACCCTGAGCGTGAATCCCGTGCGACCCCCCCCCCTCCGAACTCCGCGTGGGCAAAGCGGGCCCGGGGGCCTCGGAGCTTCCCGGGAGGCCGCGTCGGGGGTGGGGGGACGGGCCCGGCGGGCTGGGCCTGTGTTTACCTGGCGCGCAGGAAGCCCGGGGAGGCGGGGCCGGGAGCGGAGTGCGCGCCCGTCCCTCGGAGCCGCCTTCAGTCTCCGCCGCCGCGCACCCGCGAGAAGCCGCCTCCCGCCCCGGCGGCCTAGGGCTCCCGACCCCGGAAGGCGGTGCAGGCTGTCTGGGGACCCCGCGAGCCGGCGCTTGAAGCCGGGACCTGCGCGCCCGGGCCTGGGACCCCGCGGCACCCCTCGGCCTCTGAGCAGCGAGCGCAGCGCCGGTGAGTGACCCTCGGGGGCGGGTGGGGGGCGGCTCTGGCGCCTTTGTCTCCGCGCCCCTCCGAGCGGGGACCGCGGAGACCTGGGCGGGTACCCGGGGCCGATCCCCGCGGGAGCCGTGGACTGAGAGTTGGGAACAGGAGCTGTCCCGGCGCCCGGACTCCGAGTCCCTTTCTCGGCCGAGAACGCGCAGGGGGAACCTGGGCAGTAGCGCAGGTGACCGGGCAGGTGGCAGCCGGGGGCCCCTGACCCGAACCCACGGCCCTGTCCCCGATCTCTACTGCGAGGGGGCGGGCGCGGGTGTAGACTCGGGTTTACTGCGCCGGGGTGGGATCCTGACAGGTGTCCAGGGTGGTCTTCAGCCAGGCCCGGCGTCCCGGGGTCGTAGAAACCGCTGGGCCTCGGGCCCCGGGGCTGAGGGGAGGAGTCTCGGGTGGGAGGGACGGCGGTCAGAAGCGGCCACTCAGGTGCGGAGAGGGTGCGGGCGGCGAGGGCGCGCTGGGGGGTCCTCCGGGCGCCTGCCAATCACGTCCCGGCTGCTCCCCCCCGAGGTGAAGCGCAGTTTCCCTCCGAACTCCGAGAGCGGCGGCGAGAGCCTGGGTTTGGGCTTCCGCCTTCTCGCGGCCTGTCTCGGGCTCCTCGGCTGGCCAGTCGCTGCGCCCACCTGGACCCACGTGCGCGCCCGCAGCTGCCGGTCCTCCCTCGCGGCGCTGAGCGCTGGGCTCGCGGGGCCGGGGTCTCCCCGGCTGCCCCTCCCGGGCCCGACGGCCTGTCCTGGGCCGGGGGCGTGGGGTGCGGGGTGCCCCCGAGGCCGGCGTATTTGACCGCGCAGTCATTTGCCGCCACCCTAGGTCTTCCCGGGCGCCGGGGGCAGCGCCTGTGCCCTTTCGCGTCCACCTGAACCCCCTGTTTCGGGAGGTGGAGTGGGGCTCGGGAAGGGGTTCAAGTGTCTTTAGGGATCCCTGTGCGACTCTGCCTGGAAACAGGCGCGTTCTGGTTCCTTGTTCCGTTTTCCGATTGCAACAACGTGAGAATCAACAAGTGCTCGGCTTCTCTGCGGGTGGGTGAGGGGCGCGTGGCTCGCCCGGCTTTGGGAGGGCGTGGACTTCGTTCCTGGGAGGTCTCTGCCTCATCTTGACCGCAGAACGCCCCGCCTGGAGAGAGAGCTTTTCAGAGGAAGGAAAGGTCAGGGAACAGCCAGTGTGTGTTTTGGACATTTTATTTGGTGAAGCTCCGGGGGATGGGTTAAGGAGGGTCACGCTCATGTTAGGGACCACATGGATGGAGTAGGGTCCTGAACTGAGCTCCCTGGCGGCCACCTCCAGCGATGGGTGCCTCCTTAGCCTCCTTAGCGGTTGGGACCCCGGGCTATGGATACGGCTCAGAGCCTGGAACCCAGCAGCCCTTCAGTAGAGGAGGGAAGGCCATGATCTGAAACCAGGCCGGCAGCCAGGGAGGGGATGCTCCCACGAGCCAAGGGATAAGGCACCACGCCAGAGGCTTTTTTTTTTTTTTTTTTTTTTATCAAGTGGGATAAACAGAAACCTGAGTGAAAAGAATCCAGTTAAAAATGGTTGTAAATGCTGGAATAACTCTCAGGGAGTTAACTGTTCTCAAACAACCACCTCTGTTAACTCCGGGTTAAACAAAGCTATTCTGTTGTCATCTTTTTTGAAAACTCTCCAGAAGTATCGCAGTTCTGCCCAGCGATAAGGAAGTGAAACATGCGTCACTTGATATAGATCTGGCAGCTCGTGGCTCCAGCTTGATTTGAAACGTCCGCTTTGAGTGTGGTGGGTCCCGGCTGTGGGCACTGATGAAAGGTGGCCACCGAACGCTGGGGGGAAAAGAGACCAGCCTTTCTCCTGACGTTTCTATTTCTGCCTGAATTTGTAAATGTTAATTGTAAGTTATTTTGTTTGACTTTTATCCCCAAGTTCTTTAAAAATACAGAAATTATCTGGGCGTGGTGGCAGGTGCCTTAATCCCAGCTACTTGGGAGGCTGAGATCTCTCGAACTTGGGAGGTGGAGGTTATAGTGAGCTGAGACCATGCCATTACACTCCAGCCTGTACAACAAGAGCAAAATTCTGTCTCAAAATAAAAAATAAAAAAAAGACATGCTTAAGATTAGCAGCTGCCTCTGTGCCTTTTCTGACCCCAGGGAGTGTTTATCGAGCACTTGCACATTGCCAGGCTCTCTTCTGAGAGCTGTTTGTCACCTCAGTTAACAGTTGTGATGGCCCTAGATACCCTCATTGGAGGTCACCGTGCTTTTCATATCTTCATTTTGACTGATGAGGAAGCAAGGCCCAGAGAGGTTAAGTTAGTCTAAGGGCACCCAGGAAGAGGCAGGATTCTGCCCAGGGAGTCTGCACCAGCGCCTCACTGCTGCTCTGCCCCGCTGTGGTGAACAGAATGCCTTGCAAAGGTGCTTATCATTCCTCCTTTTAAACTTCCACCCCTAATGATGAGTGGCGTGCACCCAGGGATGTTTCCTTTCAAGAATCATTTGACCAAAAGGTTCCTGTCATCCAACTTTGTTCATGATCCTCTCCTTAGCTTTCTTAGTTGCCAATGAAAAAGAAAGTATTCTAATTACTAATTACTCTTTTTTTTTTTTTTGGACGGTGTCTTGCTCTGTTGCCTAGGCTGGAGTGCGGTAGTGTAGTCTCAGCTCACTGCAACCTCCACCTCCCAGGCCCAGGTGACTTTCCTGCCTCCGCTTCCTGAGGAGCTAGGACTACAGGTGTGCACCACCACACCTGGCTAACTGTTGTATTTTTTGTTTGTCCGTTTGTTTAGTAGAGACAGGGTCTCACCATGTTGGCCAGGCTTGTCTCAAACTCCTGACCTCAAGAGATCTGCCCACCTTGACCTCCCAGAGTGCTGGGATTACAGGCGTGAGCCACCGCACCAGCCTCTAATTACTCTTGGGATAATTTTAAATAAATGGCCATTAAGCAGGAAGACACTTGGTTGTCCCATTGGAGCCCCTGAAGGAAGCTCTGGAGCTGTGTGAGGGAGGAGTGGTCACACCACAGGCCCTGCTGCCAGGTGAGCCTCTAGAATAGTCTCCAGAGATTTTACATCTGTCACAACCTGTAGTGGGCAGGCTTCCTCCAGAGAAACAAACACATTAGACTCGTGAAGGAATTGAGCATGCAGAGGTGGGCTGGCCACGTTTGTGGGATGCTTGTAGGACAGGCCGACCTGAAGGGCAGCTGATCTCTCCAGTGGGTGCTGGAACTGCCTTCCACAGCGCCAGCGACAACTGTGAGCGTGTGTTCCAACGCTGTTGGCAATGTCTCAGACTCAGCGGCCTTGGAGCACAGAAATGGCATCCTGAATGTTCTTTTGTTCTGGGCTCTGTTCTCGGACTCCGCATGGGTCCGAGTCACCATTGTGAAAAACAGGTGGATGTCAAAAGATGAGGAGAAGCAGACCTGTGTGCGGCTGGGATCTGGAAGACATGAAAAGCTCTGAAATTCAGTGATTTGAAACAAGCCATTCAAGGGTAGAATATGAGCCTGAAGAGAAAAGCCAGATGGACTGATAAAATACGAAAAGAACTTTAACCCTCTGGGCGTCAGGGAATTCAAAATTAAAATGGCAAAAGTTGGTTTCTTTTTACATTTGTTGTACTGGAAAAAAATTTCAATTGTGACTATACCAAATATTAGAGAAGGAGTAGAAAAATTAGACTTCGCTTGAGTTTGTGTGGGATATAAGGAACAAAGATGTTACAGAATAATCTAGAAAAACTGAAGATGGGTATATCATAACATCTAACATTTTCACTTCTAAGGAAAACAGGGTCTGTGTACGTAAGACACACACAATGGATATTCACTGAAGCAATTTTTTAAAACTTTGTTTTGAGATAGTTACAGATTCACATGCAATTCCCTTCACCGGTTTCCCCAGCAATAACATAGTACAATACCACAGCCAGGAAATTAACATTGATGCAACCCGTTAACTTCATTCACATTTCAGATTCCACCAGTTGACATGTACTCACTTTATTGTGTGCGTGTGTGTACATGCCTGTGCACTTAGTTGTGTGTAATTTTACCAGCCGTGTATGACCCTGTGACCACCAACACTTCAGGGGACAGGACAGTTTCATCACAGGATCCTTGATGCTACCCTTACAGCCAGGCCGACTTCCTCCTTCCCCCTCCCTGAGTGTACCAACCACAGGACATTTCCCCTTTTCTATAATTTTGTCATTTTAACAGTGCTCTGTAAGTGGAATCCTACACTATGCAGCCTTTCGAGACAGACTTTTTCCACTAAACGCAATTCCCCTGAGACGCATCCAGGATGGTGAGCGTGTCCATAGGTTTGTTTTTAATTGCTCAGTGGTGTTCTCTCGTCCGGATGCACCACCGTGTGTTCAACCGTTCACCCAGGAAGGGCACTTGGACCATTTCCAGTTTTCGGTTATTGCAAATAGGGTTGCTGTGAACATTGATGTACAGGTTTTTCTGTGAACACAGTTTCCATTTCTCTGGGATACGTGCCCAGGACTGCAACTGCTGAGTCATACGGTTAGCACATGTCTAATTTTATAAGAAACTGCTAACTCTTTTCCAGAATGGCTGCACCATTTTGCGTCCTCACCAGTGGTGTGTGAGTGATCCAGGACCTTCCCAGCCTGGGCGGCATTTATTATTGCCACTATTTTTGTTTTTATTATTTTAGCTGTTCTAATACATATATAGTGATATTTCCTGATGGTTTAATTTTCATTGCCCTGATGGGAAATGACATCGAGACCCTTTTATGTACTTACGGCCATCTGTGCATCCTCCTCAGTGAAAAGTCTGTTCATGTCTTCTGCCCATTTTTTAATTGGATTGTTTGGTTTTAACAATTGAGTTTTTTTCATGATTCTTTATATTTTCTAGATACTGGCCCTACCACGCTGCGATAATTTCCTACCAGTTTATCTTGTTCTTTCATCTTCTTCACAGAGTCTTTTGCAGAAAGTTTT